GCCTTTCCATCAATCTTCGCCCCATCCCTAATTAAGGAAGTAAAGTAGCTCTTTCCTCCACTAACTCTATCCCTGTCTAGTACTTTTGTAACTGACCAAAAATCTAGATTCCCTGCGTCTTACAGCGACTTTTGCAAAAAAATACTCATCTCCAGTAACCGCAGACACCTAGTATATACATGATGTTAGGCGCCAGGTTTGGAGGTGTTCATTATCAGCACAGAATTAGTTGACCTGATAACCAGGATCAGCCGATTCTACCCAACCTAACCTAAATAAAACTGCCAGCAGTAAAATGAGATCATAACTTTTCTTAAATGACTAAATGACTGACTCATTAACTACTCAATCACACACATTTAATGGTATTTATGTACATGTTTACGTACATCTAACAGTGTATTTACAAATGTAATAAAGTACTCTATGGAATCTGTGTACGATTTGCACACAAATTTTGAATCACATTATTTGCATTGGGCGCAAACAAATTATAGAACAATAAATTAGTACGATTCATATGGCAGTCACATACCACAACAGCATACATATATACATATGCTGAAAAATAAACAAGCAAATGGCAGAGCCATGTGTTTTTAGCGAATTCCTTAGGTACGCACAGCGCCATTAGTGGTCCCAACAAAAGCGCGCTGGTGTTAATGCCAAACAATGGAAGGCCGAGGAGAATTGTACTTGGAATGAGATGAGAAAAACTGTGTCATTAAAATGGTATTTAGGCAATAATGATGTGTAATAGGTTGCGCCTGCAATGGTACCGTTAGTGTTTTTCTTCTTTTCTGACGTTGAAACCGCTTACGCGATTGTAGCCGAATTTACCCTCTCCGCCGTCTGGCCCTCATTGGAGAGACCAAGTTTTGCCAGGTTCTTCTCAACCTTGCGTTTCCAACGGAGTGAAGGCCTTTCCTTTCCTCAGCTTCCATTCCATTCTTATCCATCCAAACCACAGCCACCTAGCCAGCGCAGCTGCTGTTTCTTGATTAACTAAACTTTGTGAATGTGGCTCATCATTCCATCGGCTGCGATATTCACCATTCACGAGTTAGGACCATAAATCTTTTGCAAAACCTTTTTCCCGAAAACTCCCAGCGCCGACTCATCAAATGTTGTCATCGTCCATGCCTCCGCTCCATTTAGCAGGAAGGGTACGATGAGGGGCTTGTAGAGTTTGGTCTCCGTTCGCCGAGAGAGGACTTTATTTTTCAATTGCCTACTCAGTCCAAAGTAGCACCTGTTAGCAACGGTGATTCTGCGCTGAATTTCAAGGCTGACGTTATTATTGGTGTTGATGCTGGTTCCTAGATAGACGAAATTATATACGACTTCAAGGTTATGACTGAAAAACAGTGACGTGTTAGCCAAGTAGCGAATGCGAGAACTGTTTGCTTGATGACAGGAGATATTTCCTCTTGTCCTTGTTCATTACCAGACCCATTCGCCTCGCTTCTTTATCAAGCCTGGGGAAAGCAGAAGGGCGGTTGTTGAGGCCAATAATGTCAACATCATCAGCTTATAGAAGATTATATCTTCTCTATTCAGCTCTGCAGCTCGTAATATTTTCTCCAGTATCAAATTTTGGAAATCACACGACAAAGAGTCATTCCCTCTGAATCCTCGTTTGGTATCGAACGGCTCGGGAGGTTCTTGCCAGTTGTGACTGCGGGGATAACAAATTCAGATTATTCAAACTTTGGTACTGAAGCGATCAAGTGGTAGATTTTAATTTTGCTCTAGTAAAAATTATTGTTGTAATAAATGACTATTTTCAGAAGTGGATCTGTAGGCTGAAGAAATACATTGAAATTAGTGGCTCGATAATCGCCAACTTTACCTTTTACCGAACTTTTGTAAATCTTTAGATTGCGTCATCAAAACTAACGGTAATCCATCACTTGAGTGGCGGTGGACTAACGCAAATTATGCAATTTATGACCCCACTGATCGAGAATCCCTTTTGAATACCAAGAATTTCATAAAGAAAAAAAGAGCTGATGGATAAAGCATGAAATATCTATAGATTGTGGTTAAAAAATAAAATATTTGGAGTTATTTAATTCGTGATTTTAGAGGTACAGTGATGTATTTCGATACTTTTAAAACTTAATGGTCAAACTAAATATACTCTGTTTTAGTGAAAAGTCAGGAATTTATGAAAATGGATCATTTAAAACTCGCACAACGCTATAAAATTGCTAAAATTTACTATTGGCCACGTTTCGTGCTTTAATCCTCCAAGAGGCTGGATCGTTTACAGATATTGCAAGGCCTACGCATCAAGATTTGGCTCGCTCCACCTCGACTAACGCTGCAGTAAGTAAAAGTGGAGCCGAAGGCCTGAAGCCTGAATGTGTCTATTTCTCAAGTTTGTCAAGAGCTGTGACTTACAATATATGATGGCGTATTTTGCACTTGGATTTACACCTGCATCAATATAGAGTCCAGCTCACATAAAAATTGTAGCCAGTTGAATATTCACTACGCCGTACATGCCTCGATTGGGTACTTGAACTACAAGCAGTGGAATTTTCTTACTCGGTTTATGCTCCGAGAATTCTCAAATTGTTGAAAACAGGCCAAAGCACCCGAAAACAACTTATTCTCTGGTGCGTTATTTCGTTCGGAGGTTTAATTAGAGTTCAATACTTTAAAAACGACAACGACGAAACCGTCACAGTCAATTCGGAGCATTATGGAATTGAAGAACACGACTTGGGCAATATGTGGTGCCAGATGACACACAGAATGAGCGAATATGGCTTGCCGGTAGCGTAATCGCACGTCTTGACGATGTCAATTGGCCACCGATATCGTGCAATTTTACACTACTGGACTTTCTATTGTGGTGCTCCGCGAAAACCGTATTTTTGTAACTAAACCTTTAACTCTTGCGTACTTGAAAACCAGCATTTGTAAAGTTATGGCAGAACACAGTCGAATATGTGGCAAAAATACATACACGGTGTGTCCCAAAAATAACCGAACTTTTTGGATGTAAAATAAAATACACATTATATTATCTTTGAAAGTTATTATTTATTCAAAATAGGTTCCATTTGACTCAACGCAACATTTGGAACGATCAACCAGCGCATGCATAGATTTTTTTATGTCATTTATAGAAATGTTCTTCAGTACCTCGGTTACGGCTGCTTGAATGGCTGGGATATCATCATAAAATGCTTTCTCATCTTGGTTTTCAGTTTTGGAAATAAAAAATACACACATAGTGATAGATCAGACGAATACAGAGGATGATCGATGAGAGAAATCCCTTTTTTAATTAAAAATTCGAGCGATTTTTTGGTCGTCATTTAATTCATGTGGAACAAATCGAGCACAGACCTTTCTTCTCCTCAAATCTTCAGTTAAAATTCTCCAAATAGTGTTTTTACCCGTATTCAATGCCTCAGCCAACATTCTCGTAGTAAAATTTGCATCGATACCAATGATTTTACGGACTTTTTTCACCAGTTCAGCACGATTACTAGTTTCTGGACGTCCTGCTCAAGGGTCGTCATTTAAATCCTCACGACCAATTTTAAATCGTGTAAACCACGTTTAAACTTTCGTACGACTCATACAATCAACACAATAAACTTTTTTTTATTAATTTTTTTCAATTTTGACACAAAATTTTATATTTGCTCTTTGCTCCATTTTATTGTTGAACCATTAGCACACTCTTGGTTTTATTGAAATGGCTGTCACTTTTACATCTGTCATCCGACTTACATGATGTTAGGTGCGTTTGAAAGAGAATGAATGTATCTTTTTAATGTTGCAAAAATATTCAATAGATGGCGCTGTATGTTGTATGATTTAAATATAAAGTTCGGTTATTTTTAGGACACACCGTGTATGTATATGTAAGCCAAGGTTAAAACTTTATAATAAAAATTGAGTTTCATGGAAAAATTATTTTAAATACATTTTATTTACGTTTATTTCCAAACTGCAAAAAAATTTTTACACAAAAAAAAGTTGTTTTAATTTTCATCAATATATATTTCTACCTAACAATAACAACACCTTCTAAAATATGCGCAGTTCACACTTTTCGCTTTGAAAATATTTATACGCGATTTGACACTTCACTTAAACAATATCGAAATTATGACGTATACGCAAACAATTACAGAATCTCAAGGCGCTATCTGTGCTCGTAATTCATTATTCGCTTATTTAGGTAGCAGTGGATTAATGTAGAGTCTAATAATAATTAGCATGGCATAATTTAATTTTTTTTGTTTTATTTTTTATGATTTTCTCAAATTGCTTTTAGTTACTTAATCGGAAAAAAATTTTCTCAAAAATTATGTGGCAATAAAGTCAAACAATTTTGTATGTTTTATTGCTGTTTTTTTTTATTTTTCTACACATTTCATTTGTTTATACTTGTTGCATGCACCAGACGCGCAGTCTGCTGCCACGATCAAGCACCTTGCTACTCACTTACCATCGCAGTGGTTTTTTGATTTTTTTTTTTCGTTTTTTGTTTTTCGTTTTTTGTTTTCTTCTTTTATCGTACAATTCAAGTATCGTTTTGTTTTATGTGCTTTGTGTTTCTGTTTACAATTGCTCCCCAAATATGAGACTTCTGTGCTGTTTCTTCTTCCAACTTTCCCCCCCTCCGGCCAATCACTTAGTCCATCCAACGAAAACCGCATGCGGCGGGCCCGCCTATGCACTCATATGAAAAGCTTATTTCCTTCCTAAAGTGTAATTAATTAATTCTGGCCAGCAGTTCATCATTGGTACACATTTGTTTTTTGCCTCCCTCCTTCATGTCGTGCACACATTACTTGTCGTTGTAAATGTTACAAAAATATTAAAAAAAATATTTAAAAAAAATGAATATAAAAGCTTGGAATGTTTTCGAGCATAATATCATACATTTCCAATTGTAATTTGCCAATCTGTCAATGATTATATATGTCAGATGGTTAAAGTGGAATCTGTGCTGTTGGCTTTACGGTTATGACATCTTTTCAGTTCCCATTTTACATTGGTTACGTTCGTTTCGGTTTTTGTTCGTGTACGGTTTATTCGCCATTTTAGTATTCGCAAAAGGATATGTGAACTGGAAATTCGGCATAACTGTTTTACTGAAATATTCTTTTGTAGTTTCTGCGCTTTATAGCAACCGGAAAGCACAGTGTTTTACCAGAAGATGTCCCACAATGAACGGAAAGCTCGTTTGAGTGCAGTGAAATTTATGGAATTGGTAAAAGAAATGAGTGAAGAAGTTAAGAACTGTGGATATATCGAAATGAAACTGTGAAAAATCTGCGAAAAAAAAAAAAACAAAAAAAAAAACCGCTGGTAGAATGAAAGCTATCCTGACCATTTATATTTTAATTTGAGGCTCAATAGAGAAAAGTTGTTCTTCAGGGAAGCAGTTTCGAAATTTTTTCCTTACAAAACGAGCTTTGTGGAGGGAAAATAAAATGGAAAATGGATTTTTCGGTATCCTTTAAATGTCTACACCAAAGGGTTAGATTAGGTTGAAATGGCTATCGATGTGGGTGTGCCCACACACTTAGATTAGCTTAAGCCTGATATCACATTGCTTACCCGAACACTGAGCTTCACTATTCAGCCATTTCGATTTCCTAAGAATTTTCGCAAAATAATAGGCATACAGTTAGCCTGCTATATTTGAGAGCTTAGCTCTGCCCTATGTGAGGAAATGATACGTCGTTTCCCGCTCGCCATCATTCTTACGGCTGCTAGAGCATCCCCTGAAAGGAAATCCCATCCTCGCTGCATTTCGTCCTTTCGAACAGTAGCCTGTTAAGACTCCTACAACCTTAGAGATGTTCTCTTTTGAGGAAGTGTATATTTTGCCTGATTTTTTAGGGCCATTTCTGCCAAGTTTGTCTAGAAATTCTAAAAATTTTGTGGACCCAGCTTAATTTGGTATGCTCATAAATAAAGTCTCTGGCCAGAAATTTGCATGTAGCAATGTTCTTCTTCGGAAAGAATTTGCTTGGTCCTGCCTAGCTTGGCAAGATCGTCTGCTTAATAATTTTTCTCAATGCTCCTGTGACCTCCTCCTGCAGAGATCCAGCACAATTTTTGAAATCGTTATATGTGAATCAAAGCGTCTTAATCGTTGTCTGACTATCGTTGAAAATAAAAATCTCCTTCCTCGCGAATTCAATTACAATGTAGTTTGCTGCCTCTATAGTGGTTGAAATTGCAATTGATAATGATTGGGTAGTCTGAAAGAGTGTTCGAATGGCGGGTCTCTTGAGAACTCTATATAAATGTTACTAGTAAGTTGAGTAGCCGCGGTCGGAGCTACTTTGTATGAAATTCTGTCTTCTAAGGATTGTTGAGTGTTCCTACACCGATCTAGTGCCCTCAGGCGAAGTGCGGCTGGCGGCTGGCGGCTTTATTAAAAATTTAAAAAGTTTGAAATAAAGTTTTAAAAAATCTTTTCGTCTTTGTGAGCTCCGACGAAGAATCCTTTAAATGTTTTTTTACTGAAATGTTTTCACTCGCAACTTATTTGATATTTAGTTGTAGTAAATTTGTTAATCTGGTTACTCGATACCGGAAATTCGTTCAAGCGCATTGGAACTCTGGCTGTCGTGATGCCTATGTTGGGCTTGGAAAGAAGGTTTCTCTCATTTTTCCACATGCTTAAACACTTAATGTGTTTTACTTTGTAAGGCAATCGAAGCAGAAATAATTTAAAAAAAAAATAACGCGCCGCACTGAGGCCTCGGCACCGCACCACCCCTCCTAGTATATTCCTGCAGTTGCGTTACAAGTCATTAGAGAAGCAGCCCATCCTTCAGCAATGAGCACCCATAAAATAGCGTCGAGTTATTACGCCGACTGTTATGTTGATGGAGGTCCTATTTAGAAGCAGCTAACGAGTGGCCTAAGATGAAGGATGTAAGATAAAATGCGTTTGTAGTTGGGAAACATGAAAAGTTTTTTAAAATTCGACAGTTTTCGGAAGAATTATCAGAACGACCTGCTGGCCCGAGTGCAATATAGTCTGAGTCGTATAAATAATTGACAGTCTTTCAGTTACTTCTCTTGTGGCCTCTGCGGGTATGGGGGCGCAATGACTGCATACTGATCCTCCTCGAGATTTTCTGAAAGAAAATACCTATATGATTTCAACTTCTTTTCGAGACTTTTACGATAGTTACAGTCTCAATCCTCACTAAGCAAGTGGCAGTTAATTGGTTAAATGGGGCCCAGATGGTTCGTGAGCAGTCACAGCCCAGCCAATTCGTGGGCTTATTGAACTTTCTTGTATATTCAAAACCCTAACAGATCTACAAACACTGATTGAAGACAGTTTATCCTTTAGTGGTTACATTGAAGCTTTTCAGTAGGCTGATTATACTCTCTTGCATTCCCAATTAGGCTTTTGCAAATAGTTCCTTTGCCTTCTTTCTTTTCACCCATGCAAAACATTATTCGTAAGGGTGGAAGTGAGAGCTTTGTGAAAGATTCGATGTCTCAATCGCCTGATGGCGGGAATACGCAAGGGTAGTGTTGCAGTGTTTCGCCTATTTCCTCTTCGTTGAGCCGATTACAAGTTTTATCTAGCTTGTGGAGATGATAGCTCAAGCCTAAAAGCCTCGTCGGTACACTTACAACGTTTATCAAGCTCACTTCTGCTTAGTTGGGACAACAGTTTCGGCAGTACACAAGCCACCCTGACATTTCACAACTAAGGTGTGAAGGTGTCTTACCAGCAGTGTCAGTTCTACTTATATTTTCTTACATGTACTCTCTACGTAAATGCCAATCGGACAGCGTACGATCGGTGTACTCAATCCAGTTGTGATCTTAGTAGTGCAAGTAAACTTCTAGTCTTACGCATTAACCTTGTGGTAGACGGTTCTTGAACTATGCACACGTATGCGTATCCTGCGAGCCTGCTCAGGGGCAGACCATATTGTGAGAGGGATCCCTTCGTGCATTATTCGGCATGCGCGTAATTTCTTCAGTTCTCCTCAGCTTAGTGGTGATTTTATTCTGATCTGGTATCTGACATCTGATCTTTATCCTTATGAGCCTTATTTAAAAGTCAAAACCGAATAAGCATTTCATCACAATTATGTTTAAGGGCACTCTGAGGGAACTCAGGACAGTGAAAATCCGGTTGCTATCTAAATAATTTCGTCCGAATTGAAAAAAGGTAACTCCAAACAAGCGAGTCCACGAAATTACTCGACACTCTCTTGATAGCAAAGACCTCCGCGAGAGCAACAAACACCATTTGTCAAGGTGATCCTCTGACATTCACAGAGTCAGACTGAAGACTTCATTGGCAACCTCTAGCTCAAGCTTCGACCTATTTGTAAAAATTTACCTGCCTTCAGTAGAACCATGCAGGGGTCTGATGATAGCATTATGGACGATGAAGAATTACATGGTGCCTACTCGGTGGAACTATAACCTGCAAGGCTAGAAATAAAGTTGAGCGCTTTCAGTTCATAATGTCGCTGGTTTTAACACGAGCCTAGCATTGCCTGTCTAATATCCAGAGTAACGCAGTTAAAAATTAGAGTCTCCATAGTTTCGCAAGCGGCCGCGCCCGTTTTGGCTGTACGTGTCAGGGTAAAAAAAAAACGGTGTGTTGAACATTAAATTAAATGCAAATGTTGTGCATTAGAGTAAATTAATTGTTGTTTACCACACACCTCCAAGCAAATCCTACAGGAGCTTTCACATGCCCAATTAATAAATCAAACGGAAAGTAGTCTCTGTAAGAGCAGCACTTTTGACACAGCCCAACGCGCGGCTTAAGGCAATAGGCACGCCTCGTCTTAATTAATAATGAAACATAATATATGCAAATATACACAACCACAAAAAAAACACCGTTATTTATAAACATTGCCTTTTTTTATTTAGGGCTTTTCCGCCGCCTGCCTGGCATTGCACTTCTACAGCTTCGACGACCGCGACATACTGACCTCATTCGTGGCGACGGGCACCTTTTCCGGCTACATAATTGTCGTTGTGGGTATTTTTGCTGGTGCGTATATCGTATACACACACACATACATGCATTCCCTAAAAAAGAACAAAAATGTTCAAAACTAATATTTCCATTTGTCAACAGGTGTCCTCATGCGTGCGCCCATCCACAGACGCATCGACATATTCTACAGCGTGCTCGGCTGCGGCCTCTTCATCGCGTCGGGCGTGTTCATAATCGAGGCTTGGGAATTCTCATTTCGTACACGTACACGCGATTTGGCGCTCGTCAAGGCATCGCTGTCCATCGTCAATGGCGTGTTGTTTGGTTTCGATGCGATTTTTACATTTCGCGACAAATGAAGGCGAAACGACAGAAGCAGTGACGGTGGCAATGGAGATGGAGAATGATGAATTTCCGGAATTGCCAGAATTTTATAGAGTTTTTTAATTTTATAAAGCGCATTTATTGTATCTGTAATTACAACAGTTTTATTTTTAATTTTCGTCTTTTAATAACATTTTTTTTTTTGTAACAACTGTTGTTGTAGCTGCTTATTTGGCTGCCCCTTGCATACTAAACATTGATATGTAACTAAATTAAGAGAACATAAAAATATTTTTGTGCCATTAAATTACTCATTTAACTATTTTTTAATGATTCCACGTTTTTTATTATTTCATTTTGTGAGTCAAATAATCATTTTTGTTTATAATTTTTTTTAATTTTGTTTTTTCATTTAACGTTTTTTTGAGAAATCAAAATAACAGACAGCAGATGTTTTGTTTTGAAATTTCGTGAATTTTTTTTTTCGTCATATTGCGCATTGTGTCAGCGATTGACGGTGTATAAGCCCAGGTAGCTCCATCCACCGAAAATCGAGCAATTTCGGCTGGTTTTTTTTTGTATGGATGTGTTTTTGTTTTTGATTTTCTTTCGACTCTCCCTTCACTAAGCGCAATAACATGTATACACATACTGGGTTTGCCATTTTGCGGTTTCAAAAGAACACGGCTGTACTTTGACATCCGCCAAATTGAACTGCCAAACCAAATAGAATTGTTTAAAACTGCTACCAAAATTGTTCTTCATATGGGAGTACGTTTCGTGCTTTAAGAGTAGATTATGGTGCATATAACCGTCCAACTACTCTACTTGTACGGTTAGAGATATTGTGAGTTATCGCTCACCTCACTCTCATAGTGAAAGTATAACCGAAGACCCGAATGAGTCTATTTATCGAGGCTCTCAAGAATTGTCTTTCTACGCATCTTGGCGTATTTTACACTTGGACTTACACCTACAATCCAATAAGGTCCAGCTCACATAACAACTGTAGCCAACTGACTATTCACAACGCCGTACAAACCTCGATTGGGTACTTGAACTACAAGCAGTGGATAGTGATTTTTCGAATAAAATTTTCTTCAGTGACAAGGCGCATTTCTCACTCGGTGAATGCGTAAATAAGTAAAATTATCACACTTGGGGCCCCGAGAAATCTCAAATAGCAGAAGAGCAGCAAAAATAAACTTACTGTCTGGCGAGTTACTTGGTCCGGAAGTATGATTGGACCTTACTTCTCTGTCAAGGAGACAAAGGGAAGGCTATCACTGTCAATTCGGAGCGTTTATTCTGACCTGGAACTAAGATCACAACTTGTATAATATGTAGTCTCAACAAGATGCTGCCACATGTCACATAACACGAGCGGATTTGGCTTTATTACGAAAGAATATTGACGACTGCGTAACCGCTCGCCCTGGCGATGCCAATGCGAAAGGCCATGAGTATGCGAATAAATCTTTAACTCTTGAGCACTTGAGAATCCACATTATTCAAGTTATGTTTGAGTTACCGCCCAATATGTGTCAAAAAGTGGTCGAAAACTTCCTGAAATGGATGGAGATGAACGAAAACTCGCCAGGTGGTCATTTGCATTATGTAATGCTTCGCATAATAATAATACGATGATTTAAATTTGATAAAAGAAATGAGTTTCATGATAAAAAAAATTAATAAAATGAATTTTATTTACGTTTATTTTTGTTACCGCAAAATGGAGAACCCTGCACAAACATATCCTACATACATATCTATTGTTCTTTGTCCAATTGTTTTTTTTTTGTATTCAAGTCGCGCCCTGTGGAAGAATTGTGTAATTTTTTGTTTTACTTTAAGAGCTCGTAAGACTTCGGTTAGTGGCGAAAGGTATGACTTCATAAAAGATTTGAATACGCAATAGAATGTTGCGCAACATTTGCCCATGTATATGTAAAATAAATGTCAGTAAATGTGTATATTCCATTTTAGTAGACAATCCAGACGTGGTCTGAAGTTGGTTGGTTCAGAAGTAGTTCTGTTACATTTTATAACTCGTACTATGGCCAAGTCAAATCAGGAGCTTACCATTTCGAAAAGCGCTTATAACCATTTAAAATGAAGGTTTTTGACTTTCTCCTTTTTCTTTTTATATTGAGTTAACAACAGCAGAACAGTTTTTTCTTCTTTTCGTCATTATCTACCAGATCTTTTCAACATAGCGGATGTCTTCCCCTTCACTTGTTCCACCAGTGGGAACTGTAAGAAATATTTTCATAGTTGCAGTCTTATCGTTCTGCCAGACAACAGGACCTCACACACGGTGTATATCGTACCGCTCATGTCTCATCGTTTGCAATATTCGCCGGATCATAAATCTTCGGCAAGACTGAAAACTCCTAAAGCTGATTCTGATCAGATGCTATCATCGTCTGGGGTTCCATAACGTAGAGCTGGATGGTACTTCTAGGGATTCGCCTTTGTTGAGAGTTGACATTAATTTTTAATTGCCTACTACGTTCAAAGTCACAGATGTCTGACATTTTTTTTGGTGTTTATACTGGTTCCATGGTAGACGAAAGCGTTGCCCGTTTGCTTGGCATTTCTTATCCTTATCCAACCAACAGGCCTATTCCCTTCGATTTCTTATCCAGTATGGATTTCTGTGCTCTTATAGGAGATTGTACCATCTATGTCTAGCACTGCTTTTGAAGAAATCACATGATAGGGGGTCAACTTGTTTGTAACCTCGTTTAGTATCCAATGACTTGCAGAGCTCAGCCGTTGAACTATCGGCTCCTGCAAAATTGTGGCTCTTCATGCGAAACTTCGTTATATTCGAGTAATGGAACAACTACTCCACCGTCATTAATTGGGAATTTGCTGAATGAAGAGAAGTGTTCCCTTCATAAATGCAATATACGAGTATTCTGGCCATCGACCACCAGATCCTGTAAGTCGCTGCATTACTCATCTTGGCCCGCGTTTTAATCTCTTTCCTCGCACGCATTTTGGTCTACTTCCACTCTCTTTCCGTTTGCAAGTGCTTCTGGTTTTCTCCACAACTCTCAGCATCTCAACTACGTGATAAACATTTGGTCGTGATCAGGGGGTTTATTTTTGAACTAAATTTTGAACAGAGTTTGCTAAAAACCAGTAATAAAAATGTTCAACTTGATTATGATAAACCCTAAAATTGTGCATCGCTGGAATTTCTCTTCAGGAGACGGTAAAATACAACATACTATACCAGATTTGGGAACCTGATCACAGAGCGATGGATAGGAACTGTAGTGCGAACCAAATAAAGCAGATTTTTTCTCTAAAAGATAAAGCTTCCAGTAAGACGCGCTATAATTTTAATGTCCAAAATTTCAAAGTTTTACGCGGTCTCGCATTTTAGGGCAGGGAAAGAGACATTTCACAATTCCAATTCCGAATACCAAAGTTTAACGAGATCGGTCGGAAAAAAATGTATGAGGGAGGCAAGCCTTCTATAATATTTCTCAGTCCACTGTGCTTTTGTTTACGCCTAAATAATACACGCAGACATTTATGGGTCATCCTGTTTGAGCAACATGTGGTCAGCAGCCATACAAAAACAAAAGCAAAGCAATGTTGCTAGCAACATATGGGAAGAGAGGTGTGAGCAACATGCGTCTTCATTCCGAAAGTTTCGTTTGCCGAACGATAATATGGGTAATGTGCGAGTCCCACCACCGACAACCACTCAATCGAACGAACACCAAACAAAGCGACGCTAAATTGGTGGGCACTGAAGAAAACAAGATTCAGTACGAATTGAACGTTTGCGCTGAAGACGTGACTAGTTGTGAAATCGCGTGGAAAAATTGAAAAATATACAAATCTGAATACAGATACAAGTGTAAACAAGTTTTTTTTTCTTGTGAGGAAAGCCTTAACGAAACAAAATAATAATTTAAAAGCGTAATTCAAATAAAAAAATAAAAATGGAGTTCAACAATCGTCTACTGCTGAAAATCATTGAGCTGGTAAATTCAAGCAAAAACATCTGTTTCAATTATTTTAAATATCGTTGAAATATTTATGCACAATTTATGGGACTGATGAATAATTTAATAAAAACGTAGAAATTACTTAAGTTGCACTAAAGAACCGGCATTTGGTTTTTAGAAAAGAACTCATGAGTGAAAACAAATTTTTATTTGTGAATTTAGGATTTTAAAAAAATCATAATAAAAATAATTATGAAAACTTAACTTGTAATGTAACATTTCTTTTAAAATTGTAAATTATTTTCGTTGCATATAAATAAGAATTATTTAAAGAAATTTTATTATATGCAGTAAACATAATAAATATTGCGATACATTTTTTGCTTTATGGAAATTAATTTTATAATGCATTTATTTTAAAATTATTTTAAAAATTTTTTAAAACTTATTCTTAACTATTTATAATACTTATGTATGTATTAAATGTGCTATCGTATCACTTTGCTTTTCTTATTTTCATTACAACTATGTTCATGCGTTTTGCTTTTTTGCTTTATACAGTGAAATTCGTTTGATACATTTTCGTAAAATATTATTTTTTTAATTATTTAAAAAACACTTAGTGCTCAATAATTCATGCGAAAATGAAATTAAAATAATATTTTCGTTGAGAAACTCAAATTAAATTAAAAGTAGTATGAATATACCAAGCTACAATTATATTACTATTTCATTACAATATTTTCTCATAATATAAATTAAAAAATAGAAATAAAAAAATTAAATCAAAACAAAATAAAATATTAAATTTTACTTATTTTAAATTATTTTATTTTCAATCTTATTTCCTTGTATTTCACATAACTAATTTTTTTTCAAATAACCTATACCTCTTTTTTTATTTCAATATTTCAATATTAAATTTTATTGTAATTATTTATATTTAATTTGATTTTATTTGGACTTGTTTATTCTATTTAATATAATTTAATATAATTAATTATTTTATCAATTTTCTTACTTTAAGATTTTGTTTCTAATTTTGAGTTTTTGTTTTTTATTATAATTTAGTTTCATGTAATGTAAATTTATCTTTTCTAACTTTATTGTGAGTTATCTTATTTGTTTTAAGCTTTTCATTTGTTACTGATGTTTTTTTCCTTAATTTTATGTTTTTTTTTGTTTATTTTTTTATTAAACTTTCGCTTTTAAATTTATTTTACTTTATTTATTTCTTATTTTGTTCTAATTTGTTCTTTACTATTTTTTATTCGTTTTAAGTTAACATAATTTGTCTTAATCTAATACGTTTTTTTAATTTATGTAAGTTAATTTTACTCTATTTTTTACTTTTAATTTTTTAATAATATCTTAATGAGAATTATTTTGTTATTTATTTGAACTAATTTTGTTTTGTATTAATTAATATAATTTAATTTTGTTTCTATTTTAATTTATTTAATTCTAATTAAATTTTATTTTATTTAATTAAAAAGTTTTAATTCATTTTGTTTGAATATTTTCTCTTCATGTTATTTTACCATTTTAGTTTATATTATTTTGTTCAATTTTAATATTTTGTTTATTTTTTTTTTTTTTGATATTTTTTATTATAATTAATTTAATTTTTTGTATTATATTTTATTTCATATTGTCAATTTTTTAATTAATTTTATCTTACTTTATTTATTTTATATTATTTTATTTTATTTTATTTTATTTTATTTTATTTTATTTTATTTTATTTTATTTTATTTTATTTTATTTTATTTTATTTTATTTTATTTTATTTTATTTTATTNTATTTTATTTTATATTATTTTATTCTATTTTGTTATATTTTATCTTATTTTATTTTATTTTATTTTCTTTCATTTAAATTAATTTAGTTTTATTTTATTTGATTTTAGTTTGTTTTTTTCTGCTTCTGATTTAATTTTTATTTCCTTAGCTAAATGTTATACTGTATATATCTCTCCTTGGCATTCACCCTTCAACCAAGACCACGAAAAACTCACATGATTTGGTTTCCTAAATTTACTGCGTCACTAAACTTATTCAAAATAATGAACGTCTTTATTGTTTGTGTTGTTGACATTGTCTACTCATATTTGATACATATCTACATACTATTATCTGGTTATCCTTGGAGCGTTAAACTTCTCATTTTACGCTTTTATGGAGAAGTATATGCTAGCAACATGTTGCGCAACATGCTTGTGCTGACACATTTTCTCTCCTATGACATCACTTTTCAAGCATAGTTAAATGTGTGCGTGTGCAGGCTTTATGTTTGAATACAATGTATCGTTTATGGCGCGAAAAGGAATGATCAAAGCCCATAACATTTGTCAATAAAAAAAATATATAAAAATAAAAGTGAAATAACAATGAAGGTAATCGCAACAATCAAATACGCCTTCATACTCACGCAGCGTCTATTTATAGGCTATGCGTTAATCTAAGTTTAAAAGCGGTATAGCTGTAGGTATTTTTTAAATTTTTTTTCTTTTTTAATTTTTTGTGTCTTAGTTTTTTTTTTATTGTTATGATAAATTAACTGAACCTCATTTGTTCGTTTCCTTCTTTAGCATATTGCTTTAATTAAAATTTTGTTCTCGAACTCTGTATACTCGTATATATGTATGGATATGTACTCGTATGTACATATAGGTGTACTTATGTATTTGTTCAAATATGCTATTAAGCCCATATTATTCATTAACTCCGGCTGGGAAGTTGTTTAGTTCTACATACATACATATTTATATGTGTACAAAAAAATGTGTAGTAAACCCTTATGGACATATAAATACAATTTTCGTATGTTTTCTCATACCTCAGCATAATTAACATAATTTCATTAGATCTGATTATTATTTTGATTTTCGGTTGGCGCTGAAGATTATTCGTCTGTTTTTTTGTTGGCCACTTTTGCTTTCGGTGCAAAAATACTACGCACTTTTCTTATATGTATGTATATACATACATAAACAGAGAATAATAATACAATAAAGTGTGATTTGCGATCACATATTCTATTCTCATATATGTACATATACCGTGTTTCTATGCTATTATAAAGCCGGCCTCACAAAAGCAGCCAAATAAAGCGCGCCGGTCTTTAAGCTTTTCTTTGCTTCTGGCATGATGTCATTTATTGTTCTTCTCCTATTCATTTCAGCTCCGACAGATCTTTTTTGTTTATTTATGTTTTTGTATTTTAATGGAATTGTTTATTATTTTTTTAAACATCGAAAATAGTCAGAAAGGAATACAGACTTAAAATTTTATGCCTCTCGCAGTCTGCCAAGTGTCAATGCATATAAGAAGTGCTTATTGAAGAGAGCGTGAAGTTTATAAACTGAATTGTTTTTATGAATAATAATTTTCGAAAATTACAAAAATCAACGCACTTTTATTTCAAATATTTTGAATGGATTTTTATTTTATTTTATTTTTTTAATTTATTTTTAATCAACACTATTTATTATTTATAAACTTTTGCCTTTTTTTTGGATATCATAATAATTCCATCCGCACAGAACTTCTGTGGATTATGCGCCATGGACTTGGCCTAAAAAAAATTCAGCGGTTCTTCGGTTAGCCAGTTTTCTACCAGCGAAAAAAGTTTCGGCAGCGGCCGATACAAATGAAAGTGAGATAGTACAAGATCCGTGATAGTTGGTGGATGCTCCAGTACTTCTCTATCTCTAGCAGCATCAGCATGTACGTAGTCCGCACAGATGTACGTGTATGTATGTGGTCTGACGTTGTCATGATGAAACACAGCACAACAAATGAGTAATGGACCAATACCGGTCAATCCCATCATACAGCACCCCCTTCTTTGGGGTTAATTCAGGCTCTCAGGTCATTTGTTTGGCACCACAGACCTTTGACTTTGATTTTTACAATTTAATATTTACATATTTAACCTATTCTTCCACTGCTGGCCTTGGCGTTCACTTAAAGCTTTCCCACCCTAAACCACACAAATTTCTTTGATTTTATTGGTGGTTTTCGTGGAAGGCTACCTAAAGTAGGAAAAATATTTTTTGATATTGTTGGAATCAGGACTCGAATACGGGTTTTCAGAATGGCAATGAAACGCGATGCTAACCACCCAGCTATTGCGGCCACCAAAAGTTGTTAAAATCTCCTACAAAAAATGATGCATCAAACGTTTTGGGCCACGTTCCGTGCTTTAAAAGGAGATTTCGAGACAAGAAATTGTATGTTTCCCGACATTCATAAGAGCTGGGACTTTTCTACCAGACTATATGGCGTATTTTGCACTTAGACTTTCTTCCAAATCTATAAAAAGTAGAGCTCATACATAACTGTGGAAGTGCAAATTTTCGAATAAAATTTTTCTCATCGCAGAACTACAATTCTCACTCGGGAGATACGTAAATGAGAAAAATTTTTGCATTTGGTGCTCCGTGAATTCACAAATAACTAAAGGATAGACATTACAATAAAACAAAAATGTACTGTCTTTTGCGCTCCTTGGCCTGGAGGTGTGAGTGAACCTTACTTCATTGAAAACAAGAACGGCAAGACTGTAGCTGTCGCTATCGATTCGGAGCATTAAGGTCGTATGATAACCAACTTTTTTGGCCTGCGATTAAAGAACATGACTCGGTTTGAACACAATATGTCTTTAGTACGAGAGAAATTCTCCTGCTGCGTAATCTGTCGCCTTGGTGATGCCAACTGGCGACAGAATTTGGCGATTTGACACTGCTGAATTTTTTTAAAGAGCTTACGCGAAGGATCAAGTTTATGCGGTTAAGTCTTTTATTCCTGAGTGCTTTAAAATGAACATTCCTCAAATTATGGTAAAGATACGGTCCAATAAGTGTCAAAACATGGATCAAAGTTTGCGAATATTCGTTTGTCGATAATTTAAATGATGTTACTACAGCACACATGATGCGAATATTCAAACTTTGCAATAAAAAGTTAATTTCATGGAACAAAAATTATTTCATCCAAAATATTTTTTTATTCAATTACTGTGAAATTGTTGA